AAATTGAATAGTGTTGAAAGTAAATAACACAAGATATGTTTACCCAGTTCGGAATAACCTTCCTACTATGGGGGCTACCAAGCCAGAGATGAAATTAACTAGATAGTATCAATTTGTAGACCTTATAGCAAACATCCCAATTTACAGTCTACGCACTTAATCACCACCCTTTGTTTAAATTCTACCTAAGACACACCTAGGTATGAGGCCCTCCTCAAATCCCTCATCAATTACACTCAGCAACTCTAACCACAAGTAGAGAACAAAATCATAATTAACTCTTCCAAGACACACAAAACTCAATGCTCAAAAGCTTATGATAATTGACACAAAAATACTCAACGATTCACAACTAGTGAGTATCTGACACACAAATGTTATATGCTTAAAATCATAAGAACATCTGACATAGAACTTACAACCCACAATAAGGATTCTAAAAACCCTAACAAAAATATACACGTATGTTCCACCTAATACTAGGTATACACAAGTTTATTTATAACATTATTCATGATTGGATTGGGCTTCAAAATCGCACCAATGAGGCTGACAAAGTCTATACATTCTTCTTCAAGATAATAGGTCTTCAATCATTAGTTTCCAAAAATGTCTCCATATTTAGAAACTATGCAATCTTCAAAAACCAACATAAAAATATTATGATTTGTCAATCTTGGATGCCACATAAGCTAACTGAATATTCCCCAAATATTCAGTAACTTAATAAATTAGCTAAAACATAAATAATAGCTGTTGCAGACGCGATGCCCTATCTTCGGGTTGGGACATCTTACTCGACATGTTGAAAATGGCAAGTTGGGACTTCTTTATTCAACATGTTGCTGCCAAGTTGATTTTACCAAAATGTATGCCAATCACAATTTTAGAGAAATAACAATAGATTTAAAAAAGAGTCGTTGTAAGGAAAGGAAATCCCTTTCTCCTTTCAACAGTTGATTCCCAATGGATATATTCAAGAGAGGTTTGGAATAGTACTAATTTTAACTTCCGTTAGCCTGCTGCTTGCTGTTGTTAGCATGAAATGTGGGAGATAACTTCTTTGAATAGTAAAATCAATATCATGATAGTGGAATTTGTGGTGTATTATTTGTACTGTATTCTTCTTGACTAAGTTTCTTAATCTTTATATTCTGATGATGAACTTATGATTTTGAATTATTAAGCTTGGAAGAGATCAATCACTTGTCTTCGTTCTTCTGATGAATGATTGATGAGCAGTTCAGAAACTACTTTGTTGTTGTAGAGCAATAACATCAGAGTGGTCAGAACCAAATCTTGTCTTCAAAATTATGGACAACAATCTATCTGAAACACAAAGCATTTCTTCTGATCTAGAACTAGTCTTGAAGGCATATTTCTTATCTAATCTGAGAGATGCAGATTTTGTTGAGAAGATGTTTTATTACAAAATCTTTCATTAGTGGATTCTTGTCTTCAGAATAATTAATAACAACTATCTGAGAAACAAGTCTTGTCATTGTACGTGAAAGCTTTTATGATGATATCAAAAGCTTTTCTGATGTTCGATCATGTAATCAGATATTGAAAGAACAACCTTTTTGATTAAAAAGTCTTTGAATACTTGAGCTTTGATTCTTTGTTCTTGCTGGATTGATTTTTGGTTGAGGAGTGATAATGATCCAGAAGATTCTTCTTTGTTGTAGAGTCAGAGTCTTTCAGATGTTTGAACATTGTCTTCAGATATACAAGCAACATCTTATATGAGGAACAAGTCTTTTAGTGAAAGCTTTTCTGATCCATTTCATCTTGATCTTTGATTATCATCTTTTCTGAGTTGCATATTTGATGTATTGATTTCTGAAATAGAAGCTTATATCAGTACATCTGATTTTGACGTTGAATTCATTTCTTTCTGATCTCTTGAATTATAATCTTTGGATTTGAGTTGGAAACAACAACTTATGTCAGCTATATCTTGGTGTTTGATCATGAATTCTTTCTCTTGGTATCTGAGATCTTTGTTTCTCATAGTGACGCTTTCCTGAGAACATACTTGTTTCCCTTTTTGATTAACATTCAATATTCCTTAGAACTGCTGATGTTTCTTTAGAAATAGTCAAAATAGTTCTTTTGTTGAGTAGATTGGCTTGAGATGATGTCATCCTTTGATCTTGTCATCTGATGGACTATATGATGTTGATTTGAATTGAGTCTAGAAGATCTTTATTTCTTTCTTTCATCTTTTCTTCTGATGGAATACTTCTGATGTTGAATTGAAGTGCGTATTCCATGAACCAATTGAGTCTTCAAAATCTTGACTTTGTCTTCAGAGATATGATCATCAACTCTTCTGATGAACACGTCTTGACTTTTGATTCAAAAGTAGAAGCTTTCTCTACATGTGTTTAGAATCTTGACTTCGTCTTTAGAATTGTAAGCAGCAACTTTCATGATGTACTAGTTTTGACTTCTCACCTTTGTGTTGGAGGCTTATTTCTTGTACACTCTTGATTTATGATCTTGAAGCAACAACTTATCAGAAACTCTTTCTTTTTGATTATTTGTGACTTCTGAAGTAGAAGCTTGTTAAGAAGTACACTCATGATCCTCTTTCTGGCGAATATTCAACATTATTCAGACCTACTGATGTTTCTTCAGAAATGGATGTGAACACTCTTTTTGATGTGCTTGGTGTATTTCTGTTTCTCCAGAAATCAGTCCTGAATAAATTAGAATTTCTTATCTGCACATTCAAGAAACTTATTAGAACTAAAATTGTTTCTCATAAAATATATACATTGTTATCATCAAAACACTGAGATTTAAACACAGATCTAAATCTTGTTATAATAATAACTTCCTTATAGTCTTTATGTTCTTCATATAGAACCTCACTTGTAGAGATAAAGGCATAAACTATGAGATCTGCATACCCAAGTCTCTAAGGTGGATTGATGACTCTTCTCGGCCTATCTCTTGCCAACATGTAGTCATCGACAGATTCCTTAAATTCCTCAGCATCTTGTGCTTCTTCTACAACTTGATATGGGATACATAACTCAGCATCGACATGCTCCGCCTAAGTAGGAATCTCTTCATGTTCCAGCTCTTCTACAGATATCTCTACACTTTAACCAATGACATCAGTTTTCTTAAAAGTCATCTCATCTTCATTGAAGACTACATCTCGATTGGTGATGCACCTTCTGTGACCTGGCTCTAGGCACCATAGCCTATAAGCGTTGACTTCTTAAGGATACCCCATGAACATGCATCTCAGAGCCCTAGGTTCGACCTTGTCTTGCCTAATGTGAGCATAGGCTATGCACCCAAATACTTTAAGTTTTGTCGAGATCTAAAGGATGTCCCGACCAAATTTCTTCTGGTGTCTTCATATCTAACTTAGTTGAAGGACATATGTTTATCAGATATGTTGCAGTCAAAACATCCTCTGCCCAAAACACCTTCTATAATCCAACACTAGTCAACATGCATATAGCTCTTTCCAAAATGGTTTGATTAAACCTTTCGGCCAAAATATTGTGTTGGGGAGTACATATGGTGGTTTTATGCCTTGCAATACTAGAGATAACACAAAAACAGTCGAACACCTCATTGTAATATTCAAGGTCATTGTCGGTTCTTAACCTCTTGACCTTTCTGCCAGTCTTATCTTCTACCAAAGTATTCCAACTTTTGAAATTCTCAAAAGTTTCATCCTTAGTCTTTTGGATGAATACCCATAACTTTCTGGAATAATCATCAACTATGAATAGAAAATACTTTGCTCTAGAATGTGATAAACACCTTGCAGGCCCCCATAGTTCAACATGAATGTAATAAAGGGATCCATGTGTTCTTTGTTTGCCTTTATTAAACTTCACTCTACAAGATTTTCCAAGTACACATGGTTCCTAAAATTTCAGCTTTTCGACTTTGTCTCCACCAAGCTGATTTTGTTTCCCCAATTCAACCAGACCCCTTTCACTAACATGACCCAATCTCATGTGCCAAATTTCTATCTTCGACAAAGGTTTCGTGGATGCAACATCTGCAGAACCACTTACAACTTCAGCCTCAAGGGTATACAAGTCTGTTAGACGATGATGACCCATCTAGAGGGAGGGGTGAATAGATACCCAAGTGAAATTACCTTTCAAAAACAAGCAATTAAAATTTTATTTTGCGCAGAAGGTTTTTAGCCTAGATCGAAAAGTCGTCTACACGAAACTAGTTATGGAAACTCGAATATGCTATAGTCAAATGGAATAATAATGATACAAACAATGAACACAACAATTTCACAATTAATCGTTTATCACAAAACACTTCAGCAACTTATTTCTAATGCAATTGAATTAAAAAACAGAACTGGACAATTTATCGAATACTTGGTGTGTGATCAATTTTTCAGAATTCTCTTTTAAGCTTTATTGATTTGAAAACAAAACTTACAATCAGGGACAGACGCAGAAATTTTAAGGCAAAATATTCATTTTTGTCCCTTAAGTTTTTTTCGTGTCACTTTGGTCTCTTAACTTTCAAAGCATTTCATTTTAGTCATTTTTTGTCTAATTAGCGACGGAAAAAATTTGAAATTCGTCGTTAAATCTGTCGCTAATTCGATAAAAGATACTAAAATGAAACGTTTTGAAAGTTAAGGGACCAAAGTGACACGAAAAAAAATTAAGGGACCAATCTTAACCCAAAGATATTGTTAAAGGATTAAAATGAATATTTTATCAAATTTTAATTAGTGAGGCCATTATATATTTTTTCAATTGTTGTATGTATCATATAAAAATTATTAATTATAATATTATATTTTTTAAATATGTGATGCATTATTCTTATAATATTTGAATTTATTAAAATTATAATTACATACTCAA